CTTAACCACTAAATATACAACACCCAAACCTATAAAATTATAGGAATGGTTTAGTCTAAAATTCTTTTGGGATAATCTCGCTCTCATGTTGATTCAAATAATTATAGACCTTCAATATATACATGATTTTTGCACAAACCATTTTATGCTATATTTTAGTGTAAACTTTGTAATAAGACTTCGAAATGTTATCATTTAACATTTTCAATATGATTAGAATAAGACGTTCTGACCAACTCTATAATGCTGGTTAACCAGTTGCCCCAACATTATATATTATACATTATACATTATACGAAATTAAATGTTTAATTATATTCTTTATAGTATTAAAATATGAAGCTTTAACTTTAGTTTTTGCTAAACTTTCTTATTTTGTGAAATATTACAAAGTTATTATCTTTGCAGATGATAATATTTTAATATTTTACCAAGTTCTATTTCTATTAAATTATTTAATAATAAAATACTAATCCAACAAACAAAAAAATATAAAAGAAAAAACAAATACATGAAAATTTTGAAACAATGTATTTAATGAAAACAAATATACTATAATAATATTATGTTTAAAAATATAAAATATACATATCTCATATATGCGATTACTATAATATATACCAATTCATAACTAAAAATAAAATGTTTATGTAATATAAACGAAAACAAACATCCGCATAGTTATACGGATTGAAATCTAGTCAATACTATTAATTTTGGATTATGTCCGGTTGATAATAGTCGAATCCAACTATTTAATTATATTTAAACATTCCACGTTTTATCTCTACTTAAAAAGCAGTTACGATTTTGAAAAAAATGTATTTGTTCTTGGATTTAGTTTTTTTTTTTGTGTCGGTTGATGATGGAAACTGGACCTTGGGCCACGATTTGTTTTTTAATAAAATGAAATGGTTTGTTACATATGGTTTGATTATGGCCATTTGACTTTTATTACTTTTTAAATACATTTTGATGAAGATTAATTGACTAATTAAATTTTAATTAGGTAAGATTAATCTACATTATTATCAAACAAAATTGTAACTGTAGTTTTTTTATTTTTGTTAACAAAAATAATATCACCGTATAGTGATATAATGTGAGAAAAACAATTGGACTCATATTAAATTATTTAAAAAAAAAAAAATACCTATCCTCTTAAGGTGGGTGAGAATCTAGTTAGTAATTAAATTATTTGTTGTCTGCACACCAAACCTAGCAACTAGACTCATAAACAAAACATATTTAGGCGCATACGTGTACTTCTGCTCAGATTCCAACCCCCGTTTGGTATGATTGATCAAAATCATACAACCTAGGTTGCATGGAATCGAAAACATATACGTGGAAACGAAACGTTTCAAAACGTGAAAACATCATTTTCAAAAAAAAAATAGAAATGGAAACGTTTTAGAAACACCTATATATATATATATATGTGTGTGTATATATATGTATGATTAAACAACATGTAAACTTATTTTCTTTTGTTTAATTTATCTAAGAAAAAAATTAAGTAATATAAATATTTTTTGTACATTTTATTAAAATTATAATCAATAACCAGAAAAGTAACACATATTGTCATTCGATAAAACTATGGACCGACTTCATTCCAAATCAAATCATTATACTAAAATGATAACAAATATCAAAATATAATATTAAAATATAAAATAATAAACATATACATAATCACTAACATCAAATGCTAAATAGTTATTTTTACGTTTCTAATGAGAATTGTGAGTTTCCAAATTAGAATCGCGAGTTTCCAAATCAGAAACACAAGTTTCCAACGTGTTTCCAAAATAAAATTTTCAAGAAACGTGTTTCCAAATAGTTTCCTCAAGTTTCCAAGAGATTCCGTTTCTGAAACGTTTCCGAAATAGGAAACGGACCTTGAACAGAGTTTCCATGCAACCTAACATACAACTCCCCAATTAAATTTTGACATATTTAACCAATTTAAATTAAAAACAAAATATAAAATAATAAACATATACATAATCACTAACATCAAATGCCAAATAGTTATTTTTACGTTTCTAATGAGAATCGCGAGTTTCCAAATTAGAATCGCGAGTTTCCAAATCGGAAACACAAGTTTCCAACGTGTTTCCAAAATAAAATGTTCAAGAAAAGTGTTTCCAAATAGTTTCCTCAAGTTTCCAAAAGATTCTGTTTCTGAAACGTTTCCGAAACAGGAAACGGATCTTGAACCATGCAACCTAACATACAACTCCCCAATTAATTTTGACATATTCAACCAATCTCTATAATATTATTTGAGAAGTCACTTTCTTATGTGTCGCGCTCACGTTAACTCTCACGCTGGTTGATTACTATGATACCCCTAATGAATTAAAAATACAATTAAATATTATTTCCTTTTTAAAAATTTCCAAATAACAATATAAAATAAAAAGAAACATTTATAAAATTTACAAAACTATTTAAAAACGAAAATATAAGTATATATAATATGGTTTAATAAAAAAGAAAAGTTCACAAAATAGTAATATTTAAGTTAAATATATTTCAAATAACATAAAATATACCTTTGAAGTAATAAAATACTTTATATCTATATCTTCTTAGATGAAAAAAAGAATATATTTATATAATGTGATTTCATAAAAATATTTCACACAAAAAATATTGCTATTAGAAAAAGAAATATTTTTTCTTTAAAAAAATAATTTTAAACAATAAAATATATATTTTCAAAATAATTATTTTTGTATATATCTATCTATTTTATTAGATGATTACATAAAATAATCAACTAACATAAACTGATATATGTTTAATTTACATTTTTTTATAATTAGTATTATTGAAATTATTTTTTTAGTATATTTATTTGACTATAATATCTTACAATTACAGTAAAAATATAAATTATATTTTACTTATATAGTATAATTTCTCAAAACAATCACTTTTACTGACTATTTTAAGAGATACTAAAAATAAAACTAAAAATTAAATTTAATAATAAACATCTTTTGATCAAGTAACTACAATTATTTTAAAATATCATAACACTATATACTTTAATGAGGTAGATATATTATATTTTAATAGTTAAAATTATCTGTTTTAAGAATAATGATTATGTTTTACTTAAGTATGTTGATTATGGTTATATTAAGTTTCAAAAACATAAAAACAGGAAATAACTACAATTATTATAAAATACCATAACACTATAATTTAACGAGGTAGATATATTATATTTTAATAGTTAAAATTATCTGTTTTCTTAATAAATCTTTTTATTTTTAATTTTCTGTTTTTATGTTTGTGAAACTTAATATAACCATAGTCAAAATACTTAAGTAAATCAGAATCCTTATTTTTAAAATTATTTAAAATAAATTTCAGTTTACCATCCAATCAATCTAAAGAATAAATTTATTTATAATTTATAAAATACTTTAATTATTGTAAATAATGATATGTGTTAAAAAGCTTCTGAAAATTCATTAGTTACTTATGTATGTAATTTAGAATCAGAAACTTTAGTTTTTATTTTTTTTTCTTCTAAGCACAAAAAATAATAAGTTATATATAATCTTACTAAATATACTTATATTTCTAAGATAACAACCAGCATAAATTCAAATAATGCAAATAATACAATTAATCAAAAATTTAATATATTTAAAATATAAAAGATAATAGTTGAATTCAGAGAAATAGATAGAATCCAATATATCTAAATGATAACTAAATCGACCGTAAAAATAATAAAACATCCTAAATATAACATATCTAAAATTATATATATAATTAAAGTAATATAATATTATAATATAAATTAGACATACAAATTATAAATTAATTTAAAAATTAAAGTAAATATCAATCAATTATTATTGTATATTTATTTTATAAATATACATGTCCGTGCATGAGCACGGGAAAATCACCTTGTTTGAATTAAAAACAAAACAAAAAACAAAGAAACCAGG